CCCAGAGGCCCTCCCGCAGCTCCACCTCCTGCAGCAGGAAGCGCTCGGGCCCGGCCTGGCGCAGCACGGCCCGCAGCCGCGCCTCCGAGAGCTCCACGTTGCCGCGCAGGTCCTGGAGGAACATGCGGCCGCCGTTGGCGCACAGCACCTTGGTGAGGAAGGAGCACACCGTGGGCTCCGCCATGGTCGCCGCCCGGGCCGCGGGCCGCCAGCGCGCAAATCCGAGGCGGGCAGACTCCTCCCAGTCACGTCCACGCTTTCAAACCGCGAGCCAGGACGGGCCTGGGGAAGGGCGGGCGAGGGGCGGCGGCCGTGGGCCGCGGCCGTGGAAGGAGGGCCCCGGGGCCTGCGGTCCGCCCCTGGACGCGCATCAGGCACGGGCAGCCTTTACTGAGCGCCTGCTCTGTGCCAGGCACGCCTCAAGGTGAGTCCTTGCCTTCAGGGCCGTGTACAGTGGAGGAGTCGTGACATGCAAGCAAATGCGAGAATGTGAGGTACTGGTAAGGGCTGCAAAGAAGATAAAATAGGGAATGTGCTAGAAGGTGCGTGGCCCGGTGGCTTAGGTAGTTGGTAGAGGAAGGTCTCTGAGGAGGTGGCCAATACCGCATGTGGCTGTTGGGCAGTTGAAAGGTGACCAGTCCCAATCAAGATGTGATGTAAGTGTGAAATACACACACTGTATTTCGAAGATTTAGAACGAAATCATTAACTTTATATTAATCATGTTAAATTGATAATTAAATAAAATGTTATTACATTTCATCTGTTTTACTTTTCTCATGTGGCTATGAGAAAATTTTAAATTAGGTATGTGGCTCACTTTATATTTCTGTTGGACGGCACTGGTCTAGACTTGTGCATTTATTTTAGTTTTTTTTTAAGTTGTTTATTTATTTACTTTTTGAGGAAGACTTCCCTGTGCTAACATCTGTTGTCAATCTTCCTCTTTTTCTTTTTTCTCCCCAAAGCTCCAGTACTTAGTTGTGTATCATGGTTGTAGAGTTGTAGCTCTTCTATGTGGGATGCCACCTCAGTATGGCTTGATGAGCTGTGAGTAGGTCCTCGCCCAGGATCCAAACCGTTTGCAGAAGTGCAGCACCGAACTTAACCCCTAGGCCACTGGGCTGGCCCCCTGAAGGTTATTTTAAACTAAAGACATTTGAGCTTCAACAGATGCGGAAAGAAGCCTTCTTGGAGCTTCTCTTATTTCAAAAAAGCAGAAACTTCTAGGAGTGAGGCTGCCATAGATACTCTCTCTGGGGGAGTTTTGTGACCATGAAGAAAAAAAATAAAGCTGAGATCACTGGCACCTGCATAAACAAACATCACAAACTTCCTTATCTCTTGTTTGCTCCTCTAGAAACCCATTTGTTCTTCCCATGGAAGGCTTTCTCCCTGCTCCTTCTCCCCTATTAAGATAGGTACATAAACCTCCTCTTTACCTGTTGAGGGAATCACTTCTTTTTCATATGCGTATGAATGAACTTTTTTTTTCTCCTGTTAATCTGTCTGTTGTCAGTTAAATTCACAGGCCCCCAGGAACTAAACCTAAGAGGATAGAGGAAAAGTTTTTCCTCCCAGGTAGTGGGTAAATATCCCACGGCATTATTCCTTAGGTGGAACAACTTGGACGTGTATATTCCATAGTCTCCCCAAGTTCCTCAATGAAACTGAGCCCCGGTTGCCCACAGCCATACCCTGCTCATCAGCACACCTTGTACTGCCTTCCTTTCCCTGTCTCACCTCCCCTTCCCTGTCTCACCTCCCCATTTCCCAACCAGTGTTTCTTGGGATCACCTCCCAAGTAAACTGCTTGCATTCAATCTTTTTCTGTTTGCTTCTGAGGGAACGCAACCTAGGATATAAACTGATAACGAGGTTAGAGAAAAATTAGAGGGTCATTCGTGGACACACAGGAGAGAGCTTCAAGGAGGAAATGGTCAGCGTTATAAAATACTGCAGGGAGTTTTCTTTCCTACAAGGGCATTGATAAACTAGGCAAGTTTATTTCAGAGGTATAATGAGAAAAGGCAGATTTCTGTAGGTTAAAGAAAAAAAAAAAGAATGGAGAAGTCCAGGGATTATAGACCACTTTTTAAAATGTTATCTGAGAGGGTAAGGTAAGGATAAAATGATAATTAGAGGAAGACATAAGATTGAGGGAGGTGGGCCGGCCCTGTGGCTTAGCAGTTAAGTGCGCGCGCTCTGCTGCTGGTGGCCCGGGTTCAGAACCCCGGGCCCGCACCGACGGACCGCCTCTCCGGCCATGCTGAGGCCGCGTCCCACATACATCAACTAGAAGGATGTGCAGCTATGACATACAACTATCTACTGGGGCTTTGGGGGGAAAAAAAATAAATAAAATCTTTAAAAAAAAAAAAAAGATTGAGGTATTGCATTTTAGGCGAGACAGACATAGTTATATGCTAAGTGAAAAGAGCCAGTAAGAAGGGAAAGTTGAAAATACGGCTAAGAAGAATGGTAATTCAGTGGATGAGGTTCAGAAGGCCGTGGGAAAGAACAGGACGCTGGAAGAATTAACCTCAGACAAAAGGAGAAATACCTCTTCCATTTAGACAAGAGGAAAAGAGGCAAGGATGAGTGCGTGAAAAGACAAGTTTGCAGGCTTAAGAGGAAGAAGTAGCAAAGCCCTAATAGTTGTTTATATTGTGGTGGTTGTTGAGTATAAGACAAGACCAGGAATGGGTGGAAGAGGCTGGTAAAGGTTGAACAAAGCCGTCCTGCGAGAATGGGGAGAATGCAGACAGGTGGGATTGATGGGCAGTGCAGAGGGCTTTGCCAAGGTTGAATACTAAGAATTTGTAGTGGTGTTAATCCAAACAGCTCTGCTGTTCTCTCTGAAAATACTCAATGTTTAGAAACAGAATTTGATTAATCTACTGTTAAGTTGGCCATATGGATGGGACATAAAGTCAGAGGTTCTGGGTGATTGAAAGTATTAATTCAGGGGCCAGCCCCAAGGCGTAGCAGTTAAGTGTGCGCGCTCTGCTGCTGGCAACCCGGGTTCGGATCCCGGGCGTGCACCAATGCACCGCTTGTCAGGCCATGCTGTGGCGGCATCCTATATAAAGTGGAGTAAGATGGGCAGAGATGTCAGCCTAGGGCCAGTCTTCCTCAACAACAACAACAACAAAAAAACAAAAAAAACCCACATCCTTGATTTCATGAAGCATCACAGCCTCTGAGTTGAAAATAAAAACCTTAAAAAAAGAAAGTATTAATTGAGAGAGTAGTCAGGTGCTGACTAATGGGCTGGAGGTTAGAGAAGGAAGGAAGGAAGTAAAGACAGGAGGGGACTGAATGTATATGGAGAAAGTAGATGTAAGGAATGTGAGAGAGCGAGCGAGCTAAAAGGGCAGGTCAGAGGTGGAATACATAAGTTTACAATTTCAGAAAAGAGTGGTTCTAGAGCAATTATGACTAATGACAGTGGGGCAATAGATGTGGATGCCGGGAATAGAGTGAAGATGATGAAGACAAAGAGGTTAAGGAGATCTAAGGCTAGGAGAGTTGGTTGTCCACAATGAATGTTGAAGGAAGATGGGGGGACTTGAGTGGAGGGGAAGACTGTGAGCCAGAGCAAGTCTTTGATGAGTGTGGAGGCAGGACCAGGAGTATATGCAGGAGTTAATGGGGGAAGAGTGGGGAAGAGAGAGAGAAGTTGAGACTGTTCCTGTAGAGAGCTAGCATAGTACTGTGGTTAATATGTGGGTTCTGGAGCTGGACTCTAGGGATTCATAATCCTGGTTCTGTTACTCATAAACCACGAACTGGGTAAGTTATTTGACCTCTCAGCAGAGGTATATTTCTGGAGTCAGAAGTGTGTGATAGGGCTGGCCCCGTGGCTTGGTGGTTAAGTGCGCGCGCTCCGATGCTGGTGGCCCGGGTTCGGATCTCGGCACGCACCAAGGCACCACTTCTCCATCCATCCTGAGGCCGAGTCCCGCATACAGCAACTAGAAACTAGGAGGATGTGCAGCTATGACATACAACTATCTACTGGGGCTTTGGGGAAAATAAATAAATAAATAAAATCTTAAAAAAAAAAAAAAAAAGAAGTGTGTGATAACTGGAGTATGGGAATAAATAAGATCATTCGTGGGAAAGTATGTAAAGGAAGAAGATGGAAAAAAAAATCCAGAGCAGACTCGTGGGCAATGTGGAGTTTCAGGAAAAAAGGGAGATATGAGGGACTGGATGAAGATGACAGGCAGATTCACAAGGGGATGGAAAAGAGAAACACAGGAGGTTGAGGTTAGGGGTGGTTTTTTAGGATTTGAGTTTTTAGGATTTGGGCAGTTCCTTGTAAATTCTGATATACTCTCCAACTCAGACTCTGAAGCTCATTCTCAAACAAATGATGATGACTGCTCCAGGCACACTTCTCTAGCACTTTTGAACGAGTCCCTCCAAGGACGTGCACTAACGTCACCGTCATAACCTTATAAATGAAATCTGCCTGTTATCCCGGCACTCTTTCCCGGCCGTGTCCTTCACCATCGCCCTGGGGCCCTAACCATGCATTCAGCACTCAGCATTCATTGCCTTTTATGGTAGTGATGAATAAAGGAAAAGGATATACTGGAGTATATCCTATTGTATGTGAGGAGGCCATTTGGTTTAAAACTAATTCGGCCTGACCTTGTTTTTTCAGAAAGGCCTGACGTGGCCTGTCGAACATGCATTGTACATTGCTTTAAACATTTACAATGTCCCAAAGCCAAGAATGATGCTCTTAAAGATAGGGATGTTGCCTCCCAATAACGGCATTTCTTTAAGGATAAGTATTTCTTCCCAGAAACTAAGGATTAATTCCTGACCTGCTGACCACCAACTTGCTGTGCTTACCTTGTGACCACTGACCTGCTGTGCTAGCTAAGCATCTCGTGACAGGAGTAAAAGAGACATTCCTGTAATATGTGATGTATGCTCTTTGTTCCAAGACGGCAAGACGGTATATAACCACTCTGCACACCCCACTTCTTTGGAGTGCTTCCTTCCTTGGGGAAGGGAGCCCCAGGCTATAGTCCTCATACCTGGCTCATATAATAAACTCGCCCCAGTTTTGATTTATAGATTGATTATGGATTATTTGCATCAACAGTAGTTATCTTTATAGTAGCACAGGTATGACTATGAAATGGTTGCTATCTGGCTTTGCTTCCACCAAATGCTGGACTGAAGGGTTCCACCACAGAAATGAAACAATGGCAGATTTTCCCAGTTGTA